AGGAATTCTATATGTATATGGTTTCTTCCGTTCTGAACCAGATATTAGTCTGATTCTGTGCTCTCCTACATTAGCTATTCGAATTTCACTTGAGAATAATTTAGGATACTTGTTTAGTAATGTCTTAATTTAGAGCTCATTTTTTTGAGGTTGTCCACTGACTCTTCTGTATCAGCACTGTTAATTTCTCTCCCATGGTCTTGCCTAGAGACACAGTTTCATTGACAACAAAAAATTAATCAATGCCAAAGCTCCCCAAACTTTACCTGCAACATGGTCTAACTACAATTTCCCTCAGACTGAAGTCATGGTCCTTGTGTTCAGGCACATAGGAGTCGCAGATTTGCTAATGAGAGGTGAGCTACTAAAAATATTTAAACGATATTTCTAGATGGCTCTGAGTCAAAATGTGTCACAGATTGCCTCAAATGATTTTGAAAATCATTTATTGTTGATTTGAGTGTTTATGATTCGAGACACTGTTCACCATTCAAAATGTTTTTTTGTTCAGAAAATTTGTTCATGAACTGAGGTTCACTGTAATTCTGCACATGGTTTAGGTGATCTAGTAGAACGTTCTCTATTTCTTTAATCCTATCACTTGGAAATGGAATTGGATGAATTTCTCCAAATTCATTCTCATTTTTAAATACTACGCCCACTGCTTTAATTCTAGGAGTGTACTTTTGAATTTTATTTATGTGTGTGTTTCAAATTTTCCCATCTGGTAACTTAACTTGATAAGAATGCGGCGGAGTGTGTTGAACTATCTCACCGGGCCCCTGTCCATTGTGTATATATTTTATTAGTGGAATCTGGATTAAGTAGCAGTACTTGCTCTCCAATGTCAAATTTCCAAACAGAGGAACGTCTGTTAAAATATTCGGCATAGGCTGTCTGCTTATCCGGAGTGGTTAAAGAAGCTTGTTCCGCTGCATTCTCTAATTGTATTTTCAGATCTTATAGATATTTCACAATGGATTGTGAGATATTGGCTGGTAAAAGGTATATCTCTCGCCCAAGATGACTTTAAAATTGCCAGAGGTCCACAGGCTTCTTTTCCATTTAGAAGTTTAAAAGGCGACACTCCTGTAGTACAGTTTGGAACCTCTCTATAAGCAAATAGAAATGGAATTTGTTTGTCCCATCCTCTTTTTGGGGTCTTCTCATATTACAAGATGTAACATATTCTTAAGGACTCTATTCCATCGTTCTATTAAACCATTGCTAGCTGCATGACCTGGACGTGAAAATCTTGGAGATGCCCTGATTCTTCTAAGAAATTCCTGGGTTAATGCCGAAGTAAAATTAGTTCCCTGATCGCTTGCTACTATATTTGGTACTCTTGTCCTAGAAAATATTTGCAATAGTGATTCACACATATGCCTAGCACTCAAAGAAGTTGTAGGCCATCGTGTATGCTGATCCATCACACTTAACACATATTTATGTTCTCGACATGATGGTAGATCGATAGGACCAATAATATCCATGTTCACGACTTTGAATGGCAAATCTGGTCTGTACACTGGGGTTATGGGTGCTCTTTTGTGTATTCTTTCAGAATTTCTCAGCTGGCAATTCTCACAAGATTTACAGTACTTCGCAATATCCTTAACCATAGAAGGCTAATAGAAGTTATATCAAATCCGCCCTTTGGTCTTCTTAATTCTTAAGTGTGCACCAAAGACTGATACATGTGCTAATTGAAGAACTTTCAAACGTCTTTTCGTGGGTAATACCAGTTGAGATACCTTTTCACCTGAAACTTTGTCATTGTGATATATCAAACTGTCAATTTAAAGAAAATTGCCTTTCCTTAAATTTGACCTGACAGTCTGTATCGTCACATTTCCTTTGTTCTTCTTTCAATTTTTCCCTTTCAGATTTCTCTGCCTGTGATGTTGTTTCTTTAATTTCTTCATTATTTACCTTAATATTAGCCGATAAAATTCTGTCGTTTTCGCTGTCTAACGAAGGTGTTCCCATTAAATTTAAATTCTGGCACTGACCTCCATCATCTGTTGTCTCGGAGTTCAGTCTCTTTTCGACTACTATCCCTTTATCTGATTTTTCTGAATCTCTAAATGTTAACAGTGTAAAGAGGTTTTCATATTCCATCTCCATCATTTTTAGTACATTGTTAGGAATTAACCCTTGCTCTTTCAGTTTATCTGTGACAGCTACAACGACTTCTATAGGTGTTAATGTAATGCTTCTACCCTTATTTACCAACATAAGTCTTAATTAACTTGGCTCTTATTTCTTCCCCGAAAGCTAACTCAAGGTGATGATGCCATAATCGTCATTTACATTAGGGACATTTTCTGGTCTTAGGATGGTTATCTGGGTTCCGCTGTCTTCGATACATTCTATCTCCGTTCTATTCACGTTTACTGTAATAAATCTCAGGGGCTGAATAACTTCTGATGTGTTTATTTGTTTACGATGACTCCCGAAGTTGGCGAAATCACCTTCGCAATTACCACGGTGTTCTCCCCCCCCCGGGTGGAAACATTTTTTTTTCTGTTTGGTTAACCTTCGGAGGACTGTTCTGCACTAAGTGCATTTGGTCGCCACAAATATAGCACTGGTTTGTGTGAAGGCCATGTGGCTTATCAGAGGAAGTTTTCCCCTTCCAGCTGCTTCTAGTTTGGGAGTGGCTATGGGGTCTTCTCCCCTGGGTTTGAATCATTCTCTCTGCGTTAGTAATTCGAAACTGTTGACCAGGAAATGTGTTTGCATCGTTTACTGCCTGCGTAAGCATCTTTCCTTTTGAAGATAAAGATCGCTTTCTTTAGCTAAATCTATTGGAGTGAACCAGTTATTCCCTTGACGTATTTTTATATGGGCTGCTGTTTCGCTATCTAGTAATTCCATCAATTTGTCTGCTACAATTACTTCATTTATAGTTTCAAAATCTTCAACATTTATTAATTTGCAATAGTAATTCTATGTCGCTCTTAACCTTGAGGCAAACTGCATATGGGTTTCATTTCTGAACCGTTTAGCTTTTCTAAAATTGTCTAAGCATGCATCTGCCGTAGGTTCAAACTCCCTTAAAATGATTGACTTTACCCATTCGTAATTACACATTTCTTCACTTTTAACATAGGTTAACAGATTCTTTGCCTTTTCTCCCAAAATATAAAGTAATATATTTACTTTCATTTCGGTAAGGATGTTCTTAATTTCAAAAGAGGTGAAGAATAAATTCCAGGTTTCTGCACATTGTGGTACAGGAGTTGTCAACGCCTGAACACTTTTTATCATTTCTTCTAATGCTAATGTTCTTTCTATATCGAAATTGCTACTTGTATTACTTTGGATATGAGCCAGTTCTAATTGATTATCATGCACTAATTTTAATTTCTCTAGTTCCAGAGTTTGATCCTCGCGTTTAAGCCTATCTGAGACTTTACTCCTTAAAATTTCTGTAACGAATGCCAGATCAATCTTGCCAACCAGTGGCCGAGCAGTAAAGTTGCTGAACACTGGTAGTTCTGTCCGAGGTTCGAATCCTACGAACGAACGGGCTGGCTGCATGGGTGTTTTCGTTGTTTTCCCCATGTGTAACGTGTATACAAACCAGTTTCCCTTAGAAAGTCCTCCACAAAGGCATCCCTCCCCTTAGGCAGATAGCTCTAGTGTGCTTTGCTGTAATTAAATAAACCAAACCAGATCATTCTCACATTCTGAACTTTGTAAAATAAGTTTTCTTAAATCCGCTACTGTTGGGTTAGGAGGAACAGCCTCACGTTATTCTTCCATGACAAATATTAAATCTTCTTTTGTTAGTCCTATTACAGCAAACATTTTATCTTATTTTCATGCAATAAAAGAAATCAAAAAGTCAGGTAAAATTAATGCCTACCTCTTATCCTCTTATCACCACAACGACAAAATGACCCCACTACTGACACCATTTGTCGTATTGTTTCGTTTTGCTTCTTTGCATTTCTGTCATCCATGGTCATAATCCAATAATGGAACTTCTTTCACACATTATTTTATTTATATATAAGAGGTAATTAATTATGTTACAAGATATTTACATATGATTAACATTAATTGGTATCAAAAGAAGAAGTATGCGCCTGCATTTTATTGTGCAATTCTATCAAAACTTACAGTGAGTGCATGCCTGTGATAATCGTGGAGCCATCCCTGGCGTTGTCCAAACGCTGACTCCTTTCCTGCGACAATCAAGCACCAGAGGGAGTGCTACAAGCGTTTTTACTCAAATACAAGAGGGAGGGGAGGTATCAGACATTACATTGCCCTAAAATAAAGAATGCAAAATTATATTCCTCCTTCTTAATTTTATGGAAAATGCAATGTAAAAAATTGCATACAAAGTAGTAGAATGTGGGTATAAATTTCTTTGGAGATAGCTATATTTTCTTTACAACAGTTATTCACTGTTTATTATTTGCTGTTGTTCAATGCTAAATTTGTGCAATTCTCTCGATTTTTTTTTACCAAAAGCAGATTGTTGTGTACTTGTAAAGGGCATCAGGATAAAAAAATTATAGAAAAAAGGTATTTCTTGAAAAAGTTATTTGGTTCAATTTGCTACCAGTATTACATTTTTAATTCTATTGGTTGGCTTTAATTTTCAGTGTGCTGCCAATTTGAAAATGGCTGTTGCTTTTGACACATTTGTTTGGTGAAAAAATTAGTGGCCATTTTCTCTTCCAAGTCAGTGCAACTTTTCTGTGGAGATGTAGAAAATTGGGAAGTACCTTAATTTTTCGTAAAGCTGTTTCTTTCTGAGTACTTTGTAGAAAGCTCAAAACCCTAAAAAAAGTGCTAGTTACGTCTTGGGTATCATAGAGACAAGTGTTTTTCCTGTGTAGGGGCAGTGTATGAGCAAACTATTTTTCAGATATAAATTTAACAACTGTTATAGTTTTTATCTTTGTGTTGTGCACATAAATGTAAACATATAAAATTTTCAAAATTAAGTAAATGTGTACTATTTTCTCTTTAATTTTTAGACTCATGACTCAAGAAGGGTTTTGCAGTTTCACTATACAACCTGGCCTGATTTTGGTGTACCTGAATCTCCTGCAGCATTTCTAAATTTTTTATTTTCGGTTCGGGAATCAGGGGCTCTGAATTCTAATGTTGGTCCACCTGTGGTGCACTGCAGTGCTGGTATAGGAAGATCTGGAACATTTTGTCTTGTTGATTCATGCCTTGTTCTGGTAAGTATTAACTATGTAGAATGACAATGAAAATTGTTTTTTAGACTGTCATGCATATAATTATAGTTGTTTGCAAATACGCTTATGACTTAATGCATTCATTGGAAATGGCCAATTGTAGTGGGTCATTTATCTGACGTGCACCAAGTGTGATGTATTTTACTCGTACAAGAATCAGTGTTATCCCAATTTTGATGGAGAAACCCTTGGGGAATGGACCCTAGGTTCTCTCACCCTGCTTCTTCTACCACTAAGCCTCTTGTGACAGTTTTTGCCTTACCAGTATTTTAAGTGCTCATATGATGATCTACTCTTACAAATACCCTGTGGAATAGAAACCCAGGCCTAGCATTATGCCCACACTGTGCTTATCAAGGCATCAAGGTGGCATAATTCTAACTGTTATGAAGCATTTCATTTGCAAGACCGTTTACACATAATTTTTAAAATGTTAACATCATGCACACTGGATTTAATACTTAATTTATCATTCCAGTTTAAAACAATTACAGTACAAAGTCTGAGATCCAGACTCATTGGGACTTCAGCGATCCTGGATTTGGGATTTTTCTGGATATTAGATCACCAGTTTAAATCTAGTAAGATGGCATGTAGTAATTATTAAATTAAAAATGTGAAAACGTGATTTATGAAAAAAGTGAAGCATTTATGATCTAAAAGCTATCAAAATTTACAAAAAAAAAGGGGGGGCGGGGAGCTGAATATGTTTATTTTATTAAACATTTCTTTCAGTGCAAGTTGTTTAAGTTGCTTTGTTTTTGGTGCTAATACTTTCTTTTTAATTCCATAGGCATACATAATTTCTTGTTCAGTTTCTAAGTTCCATTGTTCAAATCCTGTAATTGCTGTGTCGAGAATTCTGACTAACTTGTGAATCAAAATTTTTTGTCACTTTCTTCACTATTGGTAGCAGTATTTTCTGGATCTATAACCATACTACAGATTTCGCCGTCTTGATTTTGATTGATGATTGGGGCATTGTCATTGCAGTGAAAGACTTCTGTTAACTCTTTTTCTTCTCTAAATTCTGCTGCCCAGTGCAGGCATGCGAGTTTTTGTGCCTGTTCTGACTTTATGTGAATAACAAATCAGTTCTTTTTAATTAATATAGCACTAAATGTAATCTTTTGGCATGTGAGTATCATTAACAAAATCTATTTTTAACACATGGAAAGAAATTTTTGTTAAATATCTCCTTGTCAACATTCTTAGCGTATTTAACTTAAATCCGCAATCGGCACCAAACATAATGTCAACAGAAAATGTTACCATACTCTTTGTTATTCAATTACTAATGTAAAAAATATTATTTAGGCATCTCTGCACGAGTCATTACTCAAGTTGTCATGTCTTGATAAACATGTGATGATTAAAGCAAAATATAATAAATGATTTGCCAGGTTGGCATCAAGGATATAAAATATTAATTGGTGTAAAATCAGTAATGTTTCTGTGTAGATTGTTTCGGTTTGAGATGTATGCCAAGCAGATATGCAGCTACGAAGTCAAATTATTGATCACACAAATTTATGCAAAAATGATTATTCCTTCAATAATGAGGTATTTTATTTAGTGTCAAAGTGAGATTAAGAATCAGGACTCTCCGCATGTTTCATTACGAAGTGGAATTGAATGCACATCCATAAAGCATACCCCCCCTCAAATAAAATCCTTAAAAAAATGGTTGGTGATGGTTTTGAGGTCCGGATTTTAGATCATTCCAGATATTGGACGTCAGATCTTGAAGTTTGTACTATATTGTTATCAAAGCTGAATTTTGGCAAACCTGTGCTTCTCGCTTCTGAGAATATGCACTGTGCTGTAACCTTCATAGCAGTGCTTAAGTATTACTAGTAGCTCATATGGTAAACTGAATGAAATTCAGCAGTTTATATGGAAAATTCATAAGTTCCATATTATAGTAAACATATATTTGGAGTAAACACTTATGCACTGATGTGAATGACAACACTAATAATTAATATATAATAGTTGAATCTAAATTTAAAAATTATTATTAAGGATGCATTAAGAATGAAACAGTTAGTGTCAGGAGAGGTACCAGAAATGCATGAACTTTGTAGAGGCAGTGAGAAAAATCAAGCTACCCACAAATTTCCGGAAATATAGAATGAAATCGGATGCATTTCGTAACTTGGGCATCTGGAATTATTTTAGTAAGATTTTACAGAGTGAAGATGAGGATTAAGAAAATATGTTTTGACGTAAAAGGTGAGATACATGCATTCTTCCTGTTTAACATAAATGTGAAAACAGAGAAGAGTTCCAGTTATCCAAAAATAAGATATCCAAAGTTGTAATTACATGGATTATTAATTATTTCTATGTTATCCGAAATTAATTTGGTCTTTTGTAAGATTTCAGTTTTTTTTTTTTTTTTTTTTGCTTCAATTTAAATAATACGAAGATGTTATATTTTACAATGCATACTTTTAAATAGTTGTTAATTTAATATAGATGAATCTGTACAACACAGAGCCATACCATTTTTGGGCGAGTCAGGCTATTGCCACTAGTGGGGTGCAAATACTACATAAATAAAGATTTTAAAGGTAATAAAAATATTTAGCAGAAACTATTATGAGATTAATTTCAGGTATTAAAATAGATGGCTTGGCTTTGGTGCTGTGCAGGTAGACTTTATTTAAGTGTGTCGTTTGGTTTTCTTTATTAGGACCAGAAATGGTTTCAAACTGTAAAGTGCCAAAAAGGCATTGATACATATTTTAGTATTGATTTTATTATTTTATTATTAGATGGAAGTTAAACATTTTCTTAGTATGCTTTTAATTGGAGAGAAATAAATTAAATGATTTCTTAACATAAAAATTAGTTTTTTTATATACTTTGAGCACAGTAAATGTAAAACCTTGTTCATGTCATTCATTTTAAAGCCTATTGAAACTTCATTTTTGTTTATTTTAGTTCAAATGGAAATTTGTTTAATTAAAATAAAGTTTTAAGTAATTCCACTATTTAACTTTTTCTGAAAAAAAGGGGCATATTTTATATTGCATTACTGGTCAAAAATGATTTGATTTTTCAAGTACATAAGGTTAAAACTTTCATTAAAATAAAAAAATAGCAAAAATATAAAAATCCTATTACATTAAAAGAAATATTTGGTTGTCCAGTTAAAGGCAGCACAGTTATCCATAGTTTTCAAATACTTCAACTGACTCTCTAGGAATTGGCTTTAACAAATTTCTAATAGAAATTTATCTTTTGTTTGAACACGGGGAAGAACTTGAGATTTGTCCCAATAAAAAGAATTCCGCAAAGTTGTATATCTCCCTTAAAATCAGTTTTCTTCTGCTGGATAGTGGCTAAGACTTCACTTCAGTTAATGTGTTTTATAACAGGCAAATTTTCAAGTTATCACAGTGGATTTTTTTAAAATTTCTTTAAAAAAGATTCCTTCCTTAATTTTCCTAGTCCTTTTTAAAGATGAATGCAGAAATTAATGTATTTCCATTGTCCATTTCTGCAAATGATAGATCAAAGGAAAACTAGATGTGATAAAGTTAGATAATTAAATTAGGTGTAATTATAGGGTTAGATGTAATTTTTAAATTTATAATAACAAAGGGTGTTGTTTGCCAAAGTGAAATAATTCATGTAAAATAGAATTATTATTTTGGATAAAGTTTTTCAGTTTGGCGTAAATATATATTTCAATTTATAATAATTTTCATTTCATTAATAAAATTTTCTACAGTTGGTTAAATTGTGTCAAAATACAGTTTTAAGTTCATTTTCTTTATGAAATGAAGTAACTTGTACTTTTGGACACAAATTAATATTAGCTTACACTCTTTTGTCACAGGTGAGATTTTAACTTCTTTCATATGTAAGTACCGATGAAATATAATTTTCTTATTTTTATACTGTTTTAAATAATTAGTGTGTCTAGTTAAAAATGTAATACCGTAATTATATTATATTCACTTAACATCTCAAGTAAGAAATACTTTTGCATGGTTTGGTTTTCATTCCTTAAAAGTCCTCCATAAAGTCATTCCTCCTCTCAGATAGTCAGCTGTTTGTTTTGTCATATTCAAATAACCCAACCTAAATTAAGAAGTATAATTCTTGAACTAAATCTCTTAATATGGAAATTGGGTCTCTTTAACAGCAGAACTATATTATATGTAAAAACATGACTTAATTTATGGGAAGAAAACATCTAATGAAATAATTTCAGAAGTTTACTTAAAGGAAACTTGTAGAAAATATACAGCATTATAAAGTGATATGCTATTTGTAAAATTGTAATAATTAAAATATCTTATTATAAATAGCTAGAACCTGGTTATGAAAGTTTAGGCATCATTTGTAATGTTATAGAGTAATTAGGTTGTTTCAAAGCAGAAAAAATGAAAAATATGCAATGCCCTCGCCGGGACTCGAACCACAGACCTCTCGAATACGCACCAAGTGTGCTGATACGCCATGAGCTGATAAGCATTACACGACGAAGCCGTGCTAAGAAGGCGAGAGAACTATCTTATATACTCCCCCATTTAAATGGGGACTGGGGTTTTAGGGGACCCAATCGCTAAATCCTGGTGGTGAAAAATCATCATTCACCTTCTTTTATTTTGGGCATCACTGAAGAGGCATTAGGATAGTTTGGAAGCAGGAGAGATGAAAAATGAGCAATGCCTTCATCGGGATTGGAACCATGGACCTCTGAAATACACGTCGAGCGTGCTGACCACTACACCACGAATGCATGCTAAGAAAGCAGGAGAAGTACCTTATAATGTGATGCAAAGCACATGCATAAGAGTAATTAATTAAATTGTGAAAATAATTTTGAAAACTAGCAGAGCACTAGGCAATAAAATGCATTAAAATGAATTCCTTTTTTGCATTATCTTTTAATATTAAAGCCACCGAAGTTGAATTTTATCTACCAAATAAAACTGATTCCTTAAATTAAAATTTCTAAGCAG